CAGTAAGTTGTAGAGGAATCTCTCTTAAATCTCCCAATCTGCATCTCTTTCCTTTCATACCGCTGCCTCGTCATATCAGTCCCTCTTATTTGTGGTGATGCTGTAATCATTTCTGCATGGTTCCAAATCTCCTACAGCGAGAAGTTTATGAATTGGGTTAAAGGCAATTAAGTAAGCGGTCCTGAACTCCTCCCATGATTCAGAGCTATAATTGATTACATTTGTATCCAACAGTGTGAGGCAAGTCTGGAGAGACGGATGCAGATGCTACTTGAAAAATATACTTAAAAAAAAATCAGTCGTATCCAACCTGCACTGCCTACTTTCACCATTTTATAGCTGCATTAAAAATTTTGATATTCATAAGAAATGTGAAGGAAATGAACTCATAAATCTAAACAAATATCACTATTTAAATACATGCTGCTATTTGATATAACTGAAATTATATCAGAGCTAAATTGTGATATCTCTAGTGTCCTAATGAGACTAAAACCAGTCTAATGAAAGGAATGAATATGATATGTCTGTACACATTTAAGGAGAGCAGCAAATACATGCGACTATGCTCAGGAGTTCCTCAGGGACCAGTCATGGGCCCATTGCATATTGACTTCAGTAGAGTCAGGTCTCATCAGGTCTTCCCTCGCAACAGAGTCTGTATTACAGCTCTAGCTGTATTAACCACAGGCAAAGGCTACAGGAATTCGTTTTAGACTAGACATAATGAAAGATGCAATAATGTAATATATCTATTGAATCCAGCCTTTAGAGAAATGGCCACCCACAGTAGGTGCCAAATAATCTCAAAAAGCTCTTTACAACCAGTTTGTGGAGGTGCCAAAAAGGTAACGCTAAATAGAGTTATGAAATATGACTGGAGGAAATGATGGCTGTAGAGATACTGTTAGAAATCTGAAGATTATTACTGCCTTCTCCCTGAGAATCTAAACTTTTATGGTCTGCACTGAAATGAAAAATTGATACGGTTAAAAAAGTAACAGAGTTGAAGCATTGCAGACTTGTTAAACGCTCTACCGTGACCGCATTTAAAAGTGTCAAAGAATATGTAGTGACACATAACCCAGTACACACTGCACAGGAAGTGATAACGGCATTATACAACTGAATATACCCCTGAAAAATTCAGGCAGTGCTAGAAAAATCACAGAAAAAGAAATAAGTATGTTGACTCGTTATATATTTTGATACAGTCTCTCTCCACAATAGTTTCTTGCACCAGCACTGTGCAGGGAAGCCCATACATAACAGTCCAGAGAGAATGTGCTGGTTAAATAAGCAGCTTAATGAACACGAACAAAACAAGCTGCCTTTGTCAATGGCAGTTCACAAATAATTGTAATACACCTGTAATCACTGATATTACTTCGGTCAAAAACTGCTCCACTAATGGGATTTTGGGCTTTGGTTATCACTGTCAATCCTAGCCATTTTGAATGCAGTACACATATGGAATGATAATGGGATGACCTTTACAGGAATAAATGACAATTTAAAATATAGTAAAAAAATTTTTTTTTTTTTTTAAATTGTAATAATATTTCCAGTATTTAATTTTTCTTCTGTATTTTTGATCAAATAAATCCTTGGTGAGCAAAAGAGACTTAAAAGCTTTGCATTCATAATGGACTTAGAAAAGGGGAAAAATTTAATTTTATTGATGCTAGAAGGACCGTACCTGGATTCCCATTCCCTCTGGCACAGTGATCTTCCATACACAGCTCAGGCTGTTCAGGTAGGGCTCAGGATAGCCAGGGGACAGAATAGTGCCTATCCGCTGGGTAAGATTCCCTCCACATGGCACTGCAGCACAGATAAAACGAGAAAACAATGAAAGAGCAGGTAGAGTACACAAATCACACAAACCGCGTATAGTATGGAAGGGTATTTGTAATCTTCCAGGACACCACCTTCCTCCTTGTGCAGCTCCTGTGGTCAAGCATCTGGTAGCTGCAGTGAAACGCACAGGTAAACAGCTGCACATGAGTGTGGATACCTGCGTGTACAGAGTACCAGCGGCAACATCTGCCACATGTGCAAATTCGTGGATGTGTGACATGCCGGAGGCCATGACTGCTGGCCCACAGCTGTGTGCCGTTGCTTGTTAGGCACAGGGAGACTTTGTTGGCGACAGCTCTCTCTCAAGGGGAACAGGAGTAGGAGTCTGTTTGCTCTGTCTCCACAGGAAAACCACCAGAGCTGTGATGTGTATCTAACACAGTGCTCATCCAAGCAAATGCATTGAGGTTGGGGACGCAAGTAAACATGCAACACTTAAGCAAGTGTAGTAAAATCTACCAATTAAAAAAAAATAAAGTTTTACTATTTCATCAAATTTCGAAAAAAAACTGACAAAACTATATTGCTCCCATTATATTCAAAGTTGATATTTATTCTAGAAATACCCGTTGAGGAGCCATGTTTCCATTTTTTTATATATAATAATTTACATATATATATATATATATATATATATATATAATAATTAGTGCTGTCAAATCGATTAACTGCGATTAATCGCATACAAAATAAAAGTTTGTGTTCACATTATATGTGTGTGTACTGTGTATATTTATAGGTATACACTAGTCAACATTTGAAGTGGATCAAAACCTTTCATCAAAGTTGAATCATCTTAGGACAACTTTGATGAACTTTTCTGATCCACTTCAAATGTTGACTACTATACATAAAAACACACATGCATATTTCTAAGAATTGTTTTTGCTATATTTCAGTTATAAATACCTATGCTAAATAGAACAAAAATAATATTATTAATAAAATAGATAAATACATAAATAAATAATAATAAATACACAAACAAATTATTGGATAAACTAATTTCTATATATTTTTTATAAATATTATATACAATTGTACATGTAATGTATTAACTAACAATAAGTTAAATAAATAAAATACCTACATGTTTATGCCCTGATTGTTTTTGTTTATATTTTGCCCATCGTTTTTAATAAACATTATGTTTGAACTTGCTGTAACATTTTTGTGCTTATATTTTCAATATATTAATTTATTAATAATAATAGTGTTCAGCTGTGACAATAACTGAATATAGTTTAAATTCATGTTTGTAAAATAAATTGTATATGTATTTGCACCCAATAGAGCACATAACCTGGCTATTGGTCCCCAGCTAATTAAAATTTGAGACTTGTTGCAATGATGATCATGAAAGAGTGTGAGATGGTAGCACTCTTACCAATGCAGCTGGGGATGCTGCCGTTCCACTGGGCCAGAGCGTTGGGTACAGTCAGGCACTCGATGGCACTGGGCCCCTCCAGGACGTATCCTGCATTGCATTCAAAACTCACCACGGCCCCCACCGCAAAGTTGTTCCCAGTGCGCCTGCCGTGTCTGGGCTCTGGGACTGAGCTGCACTGTGTCGCACTGGTTCTCGGGACAGCTAAAGCAAATAAATGCACCATTGTTAGATGAATTTATACAAAAAAAGGACCTTAAGGCACCTGCTAAGTGAGAAATTCTTTGCAATGCATTATATATGCAGTCATGCACCAGATTGTTTGCGAAACTGGCACTTTAAAGTTTGAACCACACAGTAGGTACAGTGCATACAGCTGGTTGGGATGCCCCAGAACACCACTACTTTTAATACTTTTATAAGATGCTGTACTTTTCCATTAAGGACACGGCAGGAAACGAACAAGCGTACAACTGTAGACCACAGGGGAGGCGAGATAATACAATAATGCTGCTTTAGCTTCTAAAAACCATGCTATCTATTATGGAGAAATATACAGGGTGTTAAATTTTAACACATTTCAACAGGATACCCCATGGCTGCCGAAGAGGTAAAGCACATTTACAGCATCGTTTATAATGTGTGTGTGTCTGAGAGAGAAAGAAATGGACCATGCATATTGTGTGAATAATTCAGTACCTAATTCAGATGGCTGTGCCTCTCTCAATCAAAACTGACTACATTCACATGACCACAAGTTCTGATAGGCATGTCCCACACACAACATTTGTGCAATTAATAGCAGGCTTGGGCACAATTCAGAAAGTAACAATTGGTTTCCTTTCAGTTCATGATTGAGAAGTTTTAGGCTGTTGAACCTGAATTTAATGAAATACAATGAGAAGAAATGTAAAGAGTGCATCAGAAGATTTCATACATTTATGCTGTTTGGCTCCATTCGGAGACTTTAAAAGGTTGCATTGGAGAATTCATGGGAAATAATCATGTAAATTGTTTAAATAGTGTGTGTGTGTGTGTGTGTACATTAAAACACATGTTCATTTTAACATTTACTAATACATTATTAAAATCAAAAGCTGTATCTGTTAATATTATTTAATGGAATTGAGCCTACATGAAATTAAATCATACTAAAAATGATAAATTATATTAATAATAATAATAATAATTATTATTATTATATAAAAATGCTTCAATAACAGTTGCTTTTTTTGGGGGGGGGGGATTTCATTCCAATTTAAATATTTTCTGCCAAATTCTCAATGAAAATGAGAAACTAAAAGGCATTCTTAACTCAGTTCTAAATGGCACACAGCCCTGGTTAATAGAAAAATGAAAACCACTTTTGTTATGCAGGAAGATAACTCAAAACTCTCAACTTACCTTGGTAGACCAGGTGGAAACCTCTTGAGCTTGACTGGCCCTTGGAAGAGAAGCGGATAAGGATCTGGTTGGAGGTGGCTAGTGGCAAAGATTCACCTGCAAGTACAAACAAGGTGTCATGACATTTGGTGACATTCTAAAACCAATGACATTTGATGTTATTGACCTCTCACAGATGCCTTTTGTTTGCGAGCAGCAGCGGAGGTGAAGATTAGCATTGAACAATGACAAAATTCTAATAAGTTGCAGCATTCATGTTTGGAAAGACATGAGGGTAAGCAAATAATGACAATTTTCATTTGTGGTGAACTATCCCATTACGAATAATTAATTACAATATTACTCACATTGTATATATAATATATATATATATTTTTTTTGTTCTTGTCTGTCCAATATTAGCATCGGTTTGAAATTATTTTACTTTCACATCTTGCATGTTCCCAAGCCCAGGTCTATTAATAATCCCAATCTCAAAAATGCATCCCTCTCAGCATCGCTCATTATTAGCGTGTGTGCTTTCTGTTGCGCAATGTGGGGGCTGAGGCTTTGAATCTACCCACAGTTCCCTGGGGCACAGTCAGGCTCCACAGGGGTTTGCAGAGAGCAGGTTCGGTATTGACAAATTCGTGCAGTGGCCAAAGAAGATGAAACCGCACAACACTCTCGCTCATGTTGGGATCGACCAACGCTCCTGTTCATGCCTTTGGCATGCTGGGATGTTATTAGAACAAGCCTCCGATGGTGGCCAGCAGAGTGACAGCTACAGTAATAATCCGGTCGAGGTAGAGGTGTGGGGAAACCCTGACACACCTGCTGTTTGTTCCGATGGCCACATTATTCTGCAGTGCTGCTCGAAAACGGTGTCCATCACACCACAATGTCAGCGGTGGGAAACCTGGATGGTGACCACGGCTTCACCTCCGGGAGGATGCGTCATGCAACATTCAAGGATGTTGTGGAGTGGATTGACGTGGCCTGACAGCATCCTGTCAGGATTCCAGAAGACTGTGTCCAATCTGATGACTCGACAGCGGTGGACATGCCAGTTTGTCTACCTCGTGAGTTGGCGGAGTTCTTTAACAGCGATATGGAGGAGGAAGACTTCGAGGCATTTGCTGAGAAATTAAAAATCTCTCACAAATGCAGTTAGACCCTAAATGCTTATAGTGCTTATTAATTAATTAATACCGGTAGGCTAATTTGTGTTTTATTTTTGACTTAGGCCTAGCATTTTTCTCGTTTAGTTCTGAGTCCCCACAGCAACCGAAGGATTAGCTGTGGAGTGATGGGAAGCAAAAATGCATCACAAATTCAGTTAAGCCCTATGTTCCCAAATGTTTATAGTGTTTATAATGCTCTGTTTTGTTCCTCATTCGGTTACATTATCATTTGAAAGTTTGGGGTAAGTAAGATTTTTTTTTAAAGGGGGGGTATAATGCTGTTTCATACATTCAGAGTTATTTACACTGTTAAAGAGTTTGATTCTCATGCTAAACATGGACAAAGTTTAAAAAACTTAAAAAACGTATGACGGAGTATTTCTGTGCCAAAAATCTTACTTCCGGGTTCGTACAAGTTTCGGAGAGTTTTATTTGATCGTGGCTCTTCATGACGTAGACAAGGGTGGAACTCCTTATATGGGCATTTCTCCCAGAAGAGCGCGCCCGCGCACACATCGACCAGAGCGTGTTTTTGGTTGTAAGGGAAAGATAACTTTGTTCAGCTTCCTAAAGAACCCAGAGTTATTCCGGGGCAGCAACGGAGTTTCACAAGGGTGTTTGTTGACGAACGTTTAATAAACAAGGCCCAGTTTGACGCTTGATTTGCACATCGTTTGATACTGAAAGATGGAGCTGTCCCAGCTATAAAAGATCCCGGTCATGATTCAGAACTGCAGACGGTAAGTGAAATGGCATCAAATTTCTGTTTTGTTGGCATTCGGCGCCCAAGTGCTTGTCACTCTTTAGCTGCGCCCACGGCACGCCTCCAGGAGCTCGTCTTTTTCCGGAGATAATCGTAAAGCTTTATCTTTCTTTTATAAATATTATAAAACTAAAGACTTTTTGGAGATATGAAAGATGCAGTACTACTCTATAGGTACTCAAGATTAACATGAGATTGGGTGAAACTGTGTGTGTTATGCCCCCGTTAACAATATATACAATATTTGTATATAGCAAGAATAGATTAAATTGATAAAAGGTAACAGAAAAAAACATTTATAATGTTACACAATATTTTTATTTCAAACAAATGCTGTTGTTTTGAATGATCTTGAAGTTAAAAAGCGCATCTCAGATAGTATATATGCTCTGAGCGGTACACCTTCCTTAAGCGTGGGGTTTCACGCCATGTGCTAATCACCAGTGTTTGACTGGTGTGAAGGGTGAAAAAAAATAGAAATGCACACAGCTCATCTGTGTTGTCATGGGAATGTCAGAAGCGGAGAGCGAGCGAGAAAACCCTGTTAATCTTCGAGTCGAAATCTCCTCAACTGACCGCATTAAACGGAACTCCATTATGACTGAATAAAAGCTTTCAGCCTCGCCGTCTCACTGGAGATCTATTTAGCCAATCTGTTTTTGCTTATTTGATTCTGTTTTCTTTTCTGTTTTAAGGAAGAGAGCCCTATTTACTGGATCCCATTGAAATCTGTTTGTTAGACTGTATGAGTCATCAAGCTTGTTATGTGAAACTCTGCGTTTTATTCTCTGGAGTACATCATTATCTCTCACGTACGTCACTGTATGTTCTGATAATTAAGAACTCTAGAGACTGTATACAAGTACTGAGTCAACTTTAACGATTTAAAGCTGAAATGTGTCTTTTTAATTCAGTGCTTATTATTCAGAGATTAGGCATGTACAAAACTACATAATTTAATTTAAAATATCATAAAATATTATAAAAAGTGGGTTGTCTGAACTTGCCTACTAATCAACCTTAATAGAATAGTTCTGTCCTCATTTACAAACCCTTATGTTACTCTGAACCTGTTACTTCTTTCTTCTGTGAAAAACAAAAGAAGATATTCTGCCTATATACGATGTCTGTGTATTTTTTGGTCTATCCAATGAAAGTCATTGCGGTCCAATGTTGTTTTGAACCCTACTGACTTTCACTGTATAGAGAGAGAGAGAGGGGAGGGGGAAAAATCCCTTTAAGTCTTTGACTAAGCCTATTCCGATTTGTTTCTTAGGGGACATATGCAGTACAAACTGCAACATGTTCTTGCATTTAAAAATAGCTATACAGGGCACAACACAATGCAGTGAATAAAATGCAGGTTTTTAAGGTTGGATTATTTTGAACTTTACACAGTCTTAAATAAGCAATGCTTGTGGTGGGATACTATAAAAACAGCACAACAAAGAGGCCAAAGAAAATATGAAAAAAGATTAAGATAAACTAGTCAACCTCAACTAGTCCATTGCTAGCAGAGAGCACTGTAAGGGGCCTTTCATACAGAACACATTTTTTGTTGTATTGAAACACCACCGAAATTCCAATGGAATGGGGGAAATGGTTTATAGACTTTTTTTTTAAGTTGAACTTTTTAAACTGCATTTTTAAACCTCATGTCAAGCTCAAGACACTGCAAAGCCACAAGACGCAAAAGCAGCGGTCAAACATTTCCGTGCATCACGTTTACATGGAAAAACAATGAAAAAGTGAAATGACGCAGCAACACTGCCTCAGCCAAAACTCATTTTATGCAGGACTTTATACATACAGAAATTATTATTTTTATAATTCCATTTGGTGATGCAAAAAATGGCACAGTTTAGCTTTAAATGTTAGTATCCGTGAACCGCACAGGCTTGTGTCTCTGTTATTTAAAGGTGCAACTCATCTTGCTAATCGAGTTGCTTAATTGACTTCTATTTACCTTTGAGTCTAAATGCAGTCTCTTTAGCATTCATCTCCTAATGCCAGTATAGACCGATAAGAGTCAAGTTAATACCGTTCGAGAAAGGTTTGCTGACCTGTGTGGGCCCCAGAGAGAGAACTCAGGACACGGGCATGCTGGGTAGGCCCATCATACACCTCCACAACATCATTTAGTGCAGTCTGGAAGAATGCAAATTGGCTGAACACCACTGCAGAGAGATAAAGAGAAAAAGTGAAGAGACATTATTACATAAACCCTATGAAATATGCAACTGAAACCATGACTGTGCAAATGTTAATTCAATAGTAAAAGACAGAACCTAATCACACCTGTGAACCACCTGTTGTCCTTTCTATACACACCTGGTGCTTAGTAGAGTAAATTTCCAAATGAGAGCCATAAAAAAAGAAAGCCTGCGATGAGAAGCTCCCTATCCCGCAGCTGTTTGAAGCCATTATGCCATGCCTACGGAAATCTGTGCCTTAATTAGCTTTGCTTCCACAATGTTTGGCTTGACCCAGAGAAATACAGACAGGCTCACATCTGCTAATTCACACTTTGTATGAACCCCAAATTGGCCAAATGACCTCTATGTTTTATGGATCAAATAAAAGGGCCAAGTGGAAGCTTCTGGGGTTATATGAGGGGATATTCAGAAGTTGACATAGCTAGAGGCTCTATACCCCTGAAAGAAGGGCAATACGGGTCAAAGTCCCTTTCAAGGATAGTCAGTTCACTCGGCGGCCAATTTGCAGTGCCTCCGGGCAGCTATTTTGGGCATGCAAGTCCAACTCCTAACTACTCAAATGGGGAAAAATTTAAATGACAAAAACTGCTTGTTGAACTCACATTTAAATAACATTTAAACCAGCAATAGATTAAGACATAAATTTAGTTTATTATGCCCAAATATTATTAAAAAAGTGAAAATTTCAGGTTGGTCAAGCCCACATGCATGTGCAAAATATGAGTGAACCATCTTGGTATGCATATAGGCAGCTACATATGTTCTATTGGTTTTTAAGTTCATTGTAACAACTCATTCTAACTAATCATGACAAGACAAGTTCTGATTGGCAAATCAAAGCCAACCAGAACACATTTTGATTGGAATCTGGACCAATGAGATTGCTCTGGGACTGTTGGGGCTATCCAGTATAATGCAATTAAATCAGAATCCAAGAATCAGACCAAATATTGACCAAAAGTTGGTATTTCTGGCTGATAAGGACACAAATGTAACATGGAAGAGCTGTGATTTAACCCTTGGATGTCTGATTCAGACATGGTGTATTGGATTTGCTGAGCTCATTGGTTAGCATGATGTTATTAGCCCTTGCACATGATATAACTACAAAGCATCTTTTCCATTAACAACCATTTGAATGTAGCTGTGCATTCTGATAATTTTGTAAGGGACTTAAAGGCTGCATTTTTTAAATTATATTAGATCATTTTACCAATGCCTGATCTGTTTGACGGCCTCTAAACACATGAACAAACTTATATTTCTTCCTGTCATTAACATCTCAGAATTTTTGCTAGTGAAAGGTTTGGAACTATGTCCATTTCTTGTAATGTCATTTGCCAAACATTGTTGTCCTTTTTCTGCAAAAAACACTGAAACAAATGGGAATTAGCTTTCACGTACACTGTAGACCTTCTTGGTTGTAATGCAATGGAAGTATGTGTGCACAATACTATGTTTACTTACCGTAGTCTTTCGGCACAATGACTGAGTAGAGGCATCAGTATCACATGATCCTTCAGAAATCATTATAATATGCTGATTTGGTGCACATTTCTTGTCATTATCAATGTTGATAAAGTCAGAAGCTGTGCTGCTTAATATTTTTGTGAAACAATGCATTTTTTCAGGATTCTTAGATGAATAAATTTTAAACATGAAACATTTGTCTTCAGTCTTCAGTATCACATGATCCTTCAGAAATCATTATAATATGCTGATTTGGTGCACATTTCTTGTCATTATCAATGTTGATAAAGTCAGAAGCTGTGCTGCTTAATATTTTTGTGAAACAATGCATTTTTCCAGGATTCTTAGATGAATAAATTTTAAACATGAAACATTTGTGTTCTTGCTGAATGAAAGTATACATTTGTACCAAAAAAAAAAAAAACTTACTGGTGCAGAACAGCAGTAATGAACAATTAAAAAAAATACAATACAGTTTCATGGTCTGCTATATTTTCACAATTAATTTACCAAATATAATTATGAACCCTGTTTGTGCAGGTTGTAAAGAACCAACAGCTGTAGATACTATGAAAGGTCAGTACTGAAGAGGATATGTTGAAATGTTTTTTTAAAAGAATCACAACTGAGACTCACATAAGCTAAAAATAGAAGAATAAAGACAGAGGAGGCTCTTTGTGTGAATAAGTGCACTTCAAATAAACTTCAAATGAGCGCACGCAGATGCTTTCGACATTTCACAATTCAGAAATATGCTACAGCAACCTACATGCCCCGTGGAGCATGAACGGTCGACCCAGGACATATTAAAAGTGACACTGGGCTAGATCAGGTCTGCTGACTACACAAAACAGTCCGTCACCCAGCAGGACATGTGTACAGCGCACACCACATCCTTTGGCCAAAATTAGAAATCAATCATTCTTACTACACATCTGCATCGCACAGCAAAAAATGAGTTGCATGCAGTTCCTGTTGAGATATTACTTCCAAACATAGTTATACTGCAACGTTTGTGCTGATGCCCGTGCCCTTCATGGCCCAATAGCACATCGAAATCTGTTTGCTGTGGCCGGCGTTCCAGACGGCCCATAACTCAGTTCATCTTCCTACACCTGGCTCCTCAGCGCTCTAACAAGAAGAGAGCAGGACGGGCAGTAATTAAGAGTGGACCCACAGCCAGCCTTAAGGTCTAGCTCAGGTGTCCATTGATGAGGTTGTGTATGAGAGTGTGTGTGTGTTTGTGTGTGTTTGTGCATTTGGACATGACAAATGTTTGAGCAGGAAGGGAACACTTCGGACAAGCAATGGAGTGTGTATGTATGTGGGGTGTTTATTTAACTGTCGGTCAAGCATGCAGAGCCTTGGCCCACATATTGCACCTCGGAGGCCAATCAGACGCAGTTGGGAGTCTGTGAGAAGCTGATTGGTCTGTACAGAGGTAGACAGCACCTGAAGCTCGTTCCAAAAGCAGCTGCACGGGCAGATGAACCAACGTGACCCTGTGCCAGACCAGCTAAACTAACACTTCTGTCAGGGTTAAGTTGAAACAAACACACTTTTCGTGTATTTATGCTTCCACATTATTAGTTTATACTAATTCATTGTGAGGAGACTGGGGTCTGGAACTGGAGCTTTTGAAGTGCCACACACTGTGTCCATCTGCTACACCAGATTGTGAGAATACTGTTCCTCATTCACCAAGCCCAACAGACAGAGGGTGACGTAAAGAGCACGGTCTCTCTCTCTTTCTCTCTCTGACCGCTGCATGCCAGCGATGGTCATCAGTAGGTAGTTCTATTGTGGTTAACTTTAAGTTCATTTAAATAAACCGTAAAAAGAAAAGTGTAAAAGCATCAATACGGTAACTATTGTTGCTGTTCTGAAACATTTGTGTTACAACAGTGTTAAGGGTCGTTCACACCAAGGACGATGACTAGAAAGATAACGATATTAGCATCCACACCAGCGAAAGATAGGCCTATCGTCTGTCTATTCTAAGCGCATGTGCATATGCAGCTTTAAATTCTCAAGCTCATTATAGCAGGATAGATTCTGATTGGGTGTCAATGTTTGTATCGTTCATCAGCTGGAAAAAAATTGTTCTGAAAATGATTCCAACGATATAGTTTCTCTGTGCCTTTATTGTTATAGTTGTGGAGTGGACTCTGCTATTCTTTTAATATTGAGAACGATTTTTAGAACTATATCTTTAACGTTATCGTCCTTGGTGTGAATGGGGCTGTAAGGTCACTGCACATTAGGTAACACATTTTCTAATGCATTTTTTTTATTTTGGATTTGTCCAATCAAAATGCTTGCTACGGATGAGAAAAAGCAGAAAATCAAACCTGATCTGATTTTTTTATGATGGAAAAAAGTTTCGGAGGCAGTGTGTAAACATGATTGACACAACGTGAGTTTGTATTTATTTTTTTAACTGCCAAAATTTCGGACAAGAATTTCGGACTCAGTGTGCACAGATCTTTAACAGTTAAACTCTGCGGACCCGGATACGGGTCCAAAATCGCGTTAAAAATGTGTATGCTTCATTTACATAGCCTTCCTTATATGGTATCAGCCCATATATGGGTTCATTTGAAAGCTTGGAGTGTCTTCTTTACAAAGAATACCTTCCTTTTGGTTTTTATATTCATAAAGCAGTAAAATTAAGCTTAGAAATTTATTCAACCCACACACGATTTTCCGCCTAACCATTGCGAAATTTTTTACGAAGAATGTGTATTTTATATATTTTTCACAAAAAAGTCAAGTCATATATCACAAGAAAGCTCTCATTCTCTCTCTGCAATATAGCGTTCATTATCAGTGATGAATCACCTTTGATTATGAATGCGATATTGCGTAGCTTGTCAGTGAACTATGGCTTTGTGTAGTAAATGCCGCTCCATCTGAAAGCACGTGATGGGAATTTACTACTAATCACAGAACCGGCTTTACTGACTAGATGCGCATGAAAAACGCATGCGATTTATCGTGCAGCCCTACTGACAAGTCTGTCATTTCATGAATAAACAAATAAGCCAAAGTGTCATCAGACAAAGTGAGGTCAGCAGGAGACAGCAAACTCGCATTTGCGGCTTTACTGACTAGATGCGCATGAAAAACGCATGCGATTTATCATGCAGCCCTACTGACAAGTCTGTCATTTCATGAATAAACAAATAAGCCAAAGTGTCATCAGACAAAGTGAGGTCAGCAGGAGACAGCAAACTCGCATTTATTCTCATTTATGCTGAGCCTTTAGTGTGACAGCAAAACATTGATCTAACGCGTTAAAAATGTGTATGCTTCATTTACATAGCCTTCCTTATATGGTATCAGCCCATATATGGGTTCATTTGAAAGCTTGGAGTGTCTTCTTTACAAAGAATACCTTCCTTTTGGTTTTTATATTCATAAAGCAGTAAAATTAAGCTTAGAAATTTATTCAACCCACACACGATTTTCCGCCTAACCATTGCGAAATTTTTTACGAAGAATGTGTATTTTATATATTTTTCACAAAAAAGTCAAGTCATATATCACAAGAAAGCTCTCATTCTCTCTCTGCAATATAGCGTTCATTATCAGTGATGAATCACCTTTGATTATGAATGCGATATTGCGTAGCTTGTCAGTGAACTATGGCTCTGTGTAGTAAATGCCGCTCCATCTGAAAGCACGTGATGGGAATTTACTACTAATCACAGAACCGGCTTTACTGACTAGATGCGCATGAAAAACGCATGCGATTTATCGTGCAGCCCTACTGACAAGTCTGTCATTTCATGAATAAACAAATAAGCCAAAGTGTCATCAGACAAAGTGAGGTCAGCAGGAGACAGCAAACTCGCATTTGTTCTCATTTATGCTGAGCCTTTAGTGTGACAGCAAAACATTGATCTAAAGCCAGCTTTAGTGAGTGCATTCTGGCTTTTCATTTTCATAATTCTTCTCTAGACGACTGCGAGAAGTGCCATGGGTCGATAATTATACGCTACACGAAAGCGGTACGAGCAGGAGGGGGTGATCAAGGCAACAGTCAAAGTGCTGTTGCAGTAAGGCACACTACAGAAACAAAAGAACAAAAGCCAAAGAACAAAGACAAATGGAAAATTAAGGTAATTCTGATACTAGTTTTTGACCAAATTCTCATGCAAAACAGGCAATAAAAGGTGCCTACAAAATGGAAAAGGATGTAATGTATTCCTCCAGTGTAACATACCAGTGTATTGCAGGACAAATCCATTGCTGCTGAGTGAGGCGTCACTGCGGAAGGCCAGGAAGAGCTTGTTGGAGCTGCTCTCAATGCGCTCAGGGACATCCGTCCCGTAAAAGCTGCCCAGCAGAGGGCTAAGAGAATCAGGCCCGTCGTAGATGTGCAGGAAGTCGTAGCTCGGTTCTAGACTAAAGCTAGTTGGAGGAAGTAAACATGTATGATATGACTATAAACAACAATCATTGTTATTGTTAACTAAAACTAATACTATTGAAAATCATTTTCATTGACTGAAATCTAAAATGATAAATGCTAGATGGAAAACTTGTATAACACTATACTACAATATGGTAAGGTAACTACACAAAAATGGGAGACTTTAGTCTTAAAAACAATCTTACTGATTAAAAGTGAGTGATATGATGTGGTCCGGCATTACAGTTACTGTCCAGTCACATTCTCTGCCATGAGGATATGGCTCTGGGTATTCAGGGGACAGGATCAGTCCACTGGGACCAGTCAGATTCCCTCCACATGGAGCTGCAATAAAAAAAGGAAGCAAAAATAAACCATGGAAATTGAAGTACTGAACATACTAGCAGTTTCAAAATGTGGGCTATTAATGTTAAAACTTTAGAACAGTGAACAGTGGATCTCAACCAGGGGGACGAGGCACACTAGGGGGCCTCAGAAAACTTTGGCTTTGTAAGGCTTTGAGATTACTTACAAGCATTTGATAAGACAAAACAAGCACTAAAATGACCTAAACCTGAAAAAAAAACAATCTTATAGATCAATACAATATTAAAAAGTAATAAAATATCAATTTTATTAGGCAGAAATTGAGTAAAAAAAGTAAATTATGACTGGAAAAGTCATGGGACTTTCAAATATTATTGTTCATAAATGGGGGACTTGGAGTAAAAAAAAAAGACCTGCCTTTTTAGAACACAATTGTAATTTTGCTTTATTGAGATAAACACCTCCTGTTTTAACTATTAGCAACTCTAATGATCTAGTTCCAAAGATTAAGTTAATGAAGTCATGTGCTCAACTCAGCAGTAGCAGGTTTTTACCTGGAATAGGCAAACATCTCCAGGGTTTTGCCTGTGGTTCAGCTAAACATTAACACAAACTCATATTGAGTTTAATTGAACAAGGCAACCTAATTATACTATAGTTAGACTGGCTATTAATATAAAGTGGCTTTAATTCACAAAAGAAAACCAAATACTGCTGCCCCTAATGTCCACAAAAATTATTTTCTGGGAAGTAGTGTGATGAAATCTTTATAATGTAGCTGCTGCAAGAGAATAGATGGTAAACAGCTGGCCAAGGCCAGCAGAAATATTAATAATAATAATAATAATAATAATGACAGCTTTGCTGTACATGAGCACCCGATTCATAATCTCACAATAAATTACCCCCCTCATGTCGTCAATAATGTGGTCAATGCACTTATGCTCTTATACTTCCTGTGTTTGATTTTAAAATGTGTTTAAAATGGGTTACATTTAAATTGGGTGCAAACTAAATCCGTGAACTAGGCCTTGAACAAAATAAACTGAAAAGGATTTCAATATGACTTGAACGGCAACCTTGAGTGTATTTGAATGTAGTTACATAAATGGCTTCTTAGTGTGAAACTTTTCATACAATCACTGAGTGTGTTTACATACAAAATGCTGATACCTAGCTCATTATATAAAGCATGCTACATGAGTTTTCAGGGTTTTCTGCGGTTTGATGTCAAAACACAGTGTATTAGTATTAGCATTATTAGCCATTAGCCAAATCACAACTTTGTCGATATTTATTACAATTGAAATTTTGCTTATGGGATATGGATTCATTTTGTATCTTTCTTTATGAGAAACTAATGGGTTAGAGCATCCACCTTATTTTTCATGAAGTAAGCTATTTCATGTGAAGGTGCGAGTCTAGTGATTCATCTGGCAATGAGTAAATTACTAGAGAAACAAGAGTGCAGTAAATGGTGAAACTATTGGTGCAACAAAATGGATTTATGATTACAATAATTATTTAAAATAAAATAAAAACATTAATTAAAATAATATGATAACATATACCAGTTTGTAACATGAAGCAGCATAATAAACTGATTTTGTACAACTAAAATAACTGGAAGCATCTGAAATCAGACTCCATGCACATTCAAGATAAAAATGCTTACTCTTATGTTAAAAATAAAGCGAAAAGATGGAGAGATGACTGTGAAAGTGTTGGTTGAGGAAGGAAGCGTTTACATTTCTTAATTTGGCACGCTCTTACCAGAACAGGTAGGCGGATCAGGCTGCCAGAAGAAACGGTTGTTGATCTCGGTACAGGCAATTTTGGTTGCCCCCTGTAGGAGGTATCCGGGATCGCACTGGAACAGCACATAATCCCCTGGCTCTCTGCTGTCTCCTATGCGGGTGCCATTTGTTGGAATGCCAGGATCATTACAGGAAGTGGCAGTTGAAACTGCAGAAAGAAAAACATCCAGTCAGCAACTGTAACATAATCAATGGATCCCATTGTCTTAACATCTTTTCTCAACTTTTTCGACTCGAAGGCCTCCCATTGTCAAGGACAATATCGAAAGGCCACCCAATTTCTTTCTGGTACTTCTGCTGAAAGGACAAGGCTGCTCAATTTGAAATTTTATTTACAGAAAGTAGGAGTGGCAAAATATTAAAATAAGTCAATAAATAAATAAATAAATCCAAAAGTTTCAATAAGTGAATGCCCTTCAGGGTTTACACTTTCATACCAATTTATTTATTTAACTTTTCTAGTCATTTGCAATTACAGGGTTGCTGTTTTTTCTTTTAATTATTTTTTAACTCACAATGGCAATTTCTACCCAATCCAATTTTAAAGCTCGACATAACCATTGATTATAAGAAATGCTTTTTGATATTTTAGGATTTTAATTTGACTTGGACTTTAACTTTAATTTGACTCCAGGCCTAGAAATAACACTTTTAAAATTCCCTCATATATTCAAGCTTTCCTAGACTGCGAGCAACCTGGCTCTTAAATAAAAATGACAGTGGTTGAGGGAAATAATAAAATAATAACTATAACGTCAGTTTACATTTAGATTTTTATGCTTTACCTTATTTTAATGCTGGTTTTCTTATTGAAATAATTTAAATTCATCTAGAGGCCCCCTTGGAAGTTTTCTGAGGCCCCAGACCCCTGGTTGAGAACCACTGTTCTTAGACTAATAAACAGAAAGTTTGGTGTCTTTGCGTAACTAATCTAAGCCATCTGCTGGTTTGTGGTACTGACCTACCAGCCATTACGAATATTCACAAAAACACCTTTAAGCCAGTAAACTACCTGCACAATTACTGCCACTGAATCTGTAGAGCCCAAATGACAGCTCTAGTCCACTTCAACACGTTCATTTATTTATATAGACACCTGCACCAACTCTCTCAAAGATGCTTTAACCCAGATGGGCTTTTTAAAATGTGCGGCTTTAGAACAGAAATAACATGGCATTGATGCCTAATGGCATATTATTTCTTTAGACTTTTTGTGTCACATATTTAATATCTTTTTTTGAGTCTCCAAGGTATCACGCAAGAAATCAGGACACTGTGGTTGGAGTGTTGGCTGATGGAGGTGGGCGGGGATGGTTACCCTGGTTACAGGCTGACAGCAGACAGAAGCACATAAACCTTGGCTTAACGGGTTTCATTTATTGTCAGTGGAGAAGTTGCATCTGTAAGGCCGTGCTGCATGGTGGGTGCTGTTGGAGGCTTTAGGAGAAGCTCAAAGAAGGTGCTTTTCAGTTGTTATTCTGGAGCTCAAGCACTGTCTCCCACCAGCAAGTTTTTCAGAAATTGTGAGTTTCAGGATGATGCTGAATGGAAACAGCAAGATGCAAATGAAATTTCCCAAAAACAACATTAACTTACATGCTCGCTTGCGGGGGTAAATTTTTGTTGTATTCGGTAAAACACGGAAGCACATTTACTGAATAAATTTCTACATATGAACCAAAAATATCATGTGACTTGCCTCGGAAGTCGTGTTACGGAATAATTCGCTCAGATGATTGGCTACAACTGACTCACAAAACTGTCCAACCAACTGCTCACATACTTTAAATTGTGTCTGCATGCTCAAAACTTCAAGAAATATATTACATTTAAGTAACACCTTAGTTTGGGGGCCAGTTCTCACTATTAACTAAGTATTAACTACAACTTTTGACTCAATAAACTCCTAACTTGTTGCTTATTAATAAATAGTAAGCTAGTTGTTTAGGTATGGGGTAGGATTAAGGGACCTAAAATATGGTCAGCATTAAACATGCTTTATAAGTACAAATAAACATTCAATGTGCTAGTAACAAGCAACTAGTTAAAAGTGACACCCACACTTATAAAAAACACATACACATCTTTAACAACACAACACATCTCGGCTAAACACATACTTGATAACTGCAGAGCGAAACCCTGCTTGCTGGTGAAGAAGTCGGTTGTAAACTGCAGACTGATGGAGTTGAAGGTGCTGTGGAGGTCTGGAGGAAGTGTAGAGCCGCTCAGCTCTCGCAGGAGAACACCTCCATCCTGAGGCCCGTCCCAGATCCGCAAAACATCATGTACCTCTTCTGTGTGGAAGACCAGGAAATGCAACCTGTGGAGTTACGCAAGCAAACATGGTATTAGTCAGTTATAGTGTTTAGATTAAAGAAGGTAAGTCAGAAGAGAAAAAGCAATCATATCTTCAGTATGGCACCAAGGGGAAAGAGAAGTAATTTGAATCTCTGTGTTAGTTTGTTCATTTTCACATGTTTTCACTAGTTAAATAATAGTAATTTGTTCTAAAAGAGATACGGTCAATTTGGAGTAGTGAGACAGGAAATTAACACTTGGATAGTTCTTGATATTAGAAGGACCTTAAAGACAGAGATAGACAGAGAGAAGATAAAATATAAAGAAGAATATTAATGAATCTCTTTTTCAGCTATAAGGTGAAACATGCAGCATTTACTGTAAGTCATTAACCTTTAAGAAAAAAATAATTAAATAAGGACTTTCAAAGTGATGCCATAAATAAGACATGCCACTTCCAATCTGAGAGAAATGTGCTTGTTTTCTGCAACCTAAATGCCAGAACCAGATTACTTTACTAATGGTACTGAATACATAACTAAGTCTTCTCTATAGATAGTTATAACAGACTGCCTCTACAGAAATAGGACAGTCTGGCTCTGTACATTGTCAGTGCAGGTAATAAGGGGACATTAGTAAAACTCACCTCTTCAGAACAGTCTTGTGCAATTTTATGACGAACACTAAAGATACATTTACCAAGACTGCCACGTCTTTCAAATTACATGAAATGTAATGATGTTGATTATACAACAATACAACTAAATTAATGTTTTTGAGTTTTTGGTATGCAAAAGTACACAAAAATTCTGAACCTAATCAATGCCTTCAAATATTTAACTTGACAGACAAAGCTGATCAGAATCAATTCCTCCATTCTTGAAGAAATGGACAGCAATGGCTAGATTTGGGGATAAAAACCCAAATTGTTTAAACCTCATTGAATGAAATAAATTCAAGCTGGTTATCCTAAATCCAATCATGTTTCAGAACTAGGTCACTTTCCTGACAGTGATCTTTAAAAATTAAGATACATTTGTCCCAAATAATTTTCAAGACATCTGTGTGAACAGTAATGAGGGGAACCTTCTTTGTTTTGTGATAAATTCAAGATGTCCTTATGAATCACAAAGAGTTGGGTAAAGCTCAAAATGTATATATGTATATATGGGAATAGAAACATTATTCAATCCAGAAGTTCTAAATGAGATTAATCAGCCTACAGCCAGAGTGCTATTACAAATCTGATAAAGAACCAAATTATTCCATCCCCTTCCACCCATTTGGCAATGCGAAGTTTTACCACACACATATTGTTGTTTTCTGTGAGGAAATAAGCACTTCAGAAACCCCCTCAGACTCCATCATCCATCGCATCACTGCCGACAGGACGGATCTGTGTCATGCTAATGATAAAGCACTAATCTATGCAAGTGGCGGCTGGTTTCTCAAGGGGAAGCAGGCGCACAATGATGCATCTATTCCCGTAATGTCAGCCAGCTTCCTTTTTGCCTGCAAGATTTTAAAGCAGGTGTTACACGTAGCTGCTGGTCACCAGCTTATGTTGTGTTTTGGATGCTGGTCTAGTGAAGTTCAAACCGAGCATCAGAATGGGGAAGAAAGGTCTTAGCTGGTCTCCCAGTGTAACCAGCTGAATTTCATCCAAAACTCCAGCAGGAAATCTGGGAAACCAGGTAAGATCCGCAATAAGATAAGACCAAGAATCAAGAATGAATGAATGAATGAATTAATTAATTAATGAATGACCAAAATGACACAAGCACATAAAATTACTAAACTTAGTAAGTAAAAAAAAATAAAAATAATTCAAAATATTAATACATAGTAGGGGTGTAACGATACCCCTACCCGATATCCAAATGAAAATTTTCGGTACAGAAAAGGAGATTCTGAAGAAGAAAACAGAATGACGTCAGAATATCAATACAGCGCTGCCTTGCAATCATTGTCATGATGGTTCTCATATCTCATGGCAGCACAGTATAGAACATCTAGCAGCTCAAGGGCACATTTACAGATATATCTGTGCAGGACATCTCCATTATACCAAACGGGAAAGACTGCCATTTGAAAGAAAGCTATTTGATTTAGAGAGAGGATGAGGTTTGTGGAGCAAAAAATACTATTTTTTAATATAAAAGAGAAGGTGAAAATGCAATTTCACTGCTGAAAAGACTAGATAAGTTGATTGCCAGATTCAGGTTCAGACCATGACCCGTTTGTTTAAGAACCAGGCAGTTCAGTTTAATGAATTGAAACAGAGAAAGTGATTCATTTGTTGCATCATACATGTTGCTCCAAATGAAATGAAAAGTCTGAAACTCAAAGTTTCCAGTTCAAGGCCACACGATCAAGACTCAAACTTGGCTAGCGTCCATATAAGGATTCAAAACTATCTTCAAAATCAGCAAGACATCCTCAGGCAATGAACTTGTGCATGCTTACATGCTTTGACATGCTTAGTCATGCTTGTCATCTTTCACTATTTAACATCTACTGATGAACAGTACGGCTTTGCTAACCAGCATAAAAGAGCCAAGAAATTCATGTCAGTCTGCATTTGTTTGGAAGTCTGGCAAAACACAGAATAAATAAATAAATAAATAAATAAATACACTTAGTTAATTACAGACTGCAATTAATTACATAACTTAAAAAGAAAAAGAAGAAAAAAAAACACCATATAGAGTAGAATATTGTGGGTGGAACTGGCATTAATGCATTAATGATTAGTTATCTTTATCTGCTGTGTAGGCAGATTGGATAAATGTAAGAAGCAGTTCTCAGTCTGATTCAGCAGATGTGAGGTCCTGGCCACCTTAAAAACAAGTGCACAGCGCTTTTTTTTTTTACCCACAATCCACTGCTGTCAGCCATCCCCACTGCAAAGTGCTCCCAGGAGGATGCCGGCAGGAGAACCATCCGGGTCTTTATCATCAGATTATTCTAAATGTGCGTGAGCACATTTCCTCCATTTAGCAGCGTATTGGATTTGGGGGTACATTAACCTTTTAGAAAAATTGTGAGTTTCAAACTTTGACAGTTTGTATATTGAGAGTAATGACCAAGTAGACACTGCAAGTGAGACGGCACAATTTCACAGCCCATTAAAAATTAGACTCATTAATTGATTGATCAACTCTAGTCTCTTCGGGGGTCTGTCTCTCCCCAGCGCCTGAGCAAACCAGCTGATAAAAAAAAAAAATTGATCAGATCTGTACAGTTTCTATACTCCCAAAACAGAACTTTCCTGCTTGTCCAGACTGGTTTATGCTGCTGGAACAACATATAGCAATGATGTTCATTAGCATCTTGGCTGGTCAAGCTGGTCGATCTTGCTGTTCAAGCTCCTAAAGAATCACATAGTGATGTCTGTGGTGCTTGAGGCAGGACTATTTTTCCCAGCATGCATCACAGCATGAATAAATAATGCCAAAAACTGCTGTTCTGTATTATTTGCGCTGGTTTTGTTGTTGTGTTCGAAGTTGTGAATCATGTGGTGTTACTGCAATACTGTCCTTAAATATGATGTTAAGCATCCTGCATGACAAGACATCTTTTTATTTTGAAGAGTTTTTGTACCTCTCAGTTCCCTAGACTATTGTTAGCCAGGCAACTATTACATGGATTAAAAGCAAAACACCCCACTGCAAAGCAAACATTTTTACTGTGATATTCATTTTCATATCTTACATTATTGTTACAGTGAGAGAAATATTTACTCTGAAAGTGGAAAAAAAGGCCACTAGCAGCACAATTCAGATGGCAAAACCTGCATGTCTCAGTGAAAAGTGTGTTATTTTTGGAATAAAATAAAATAAAATACTACAATTTCATTCATCATGATGTATCACAACAACTTACTTTAAATCTGCTAAACAATTATTGTATATTTTAAACTATAAGTTACCATATTAACTTTACCAGACTTAAAATCCTACAATTAAAACGTAATAATACTAATTACAATTAATAAAAATAAAAAAATAAGCAGAAAACTGAAAAAACAATGTAATATACCTGCAACACAAGCCATTTTAATTCACCATAATCAAATTAATAAAATAAAATAAAGAGTAGACCAGCAAATTACAAGAAGAGATTGCAGGAGAATAAATAAAGAAGAGTGTGGGGAAAAAGTAATAGGACAAGACAAGTAAAAAAAATAAAAATTGTGTTAACCGACAAAATGGGACAGAGGTGAGAAGATAACAGAGATAATGTATGACTAGAAGGCTTTGGAGGAAGAGAAAAAGAGGTGGATAAAACAGCAGAATAGGGAAGGAGGGAAGTGGGACCCCAGCTTCCGTTAATTCTTTAGATTTCTTTCGTGACTGCAGATGAGCCTTGAGCGTGACAGTGCGGTCCTTTGAGCTGCAACTCGAATGTTCCAAACCGGCTCTGGAACAGCAGGCTTAACCGATGTCTAATCCCACGTGGATGAGAAGATTTGGGGCTAGGCAGTATATCTGTCTCTGTGTGTTCGTGGTGCATGTGTGTGTGAAGTGGCTGCTGAAAGTAATTATCACCTTTGCCAAACAAAGGCATCTCAGATGTGAAGAAGTGTCTCTGATGAAAGAACGATGAAATATCGCCTACACCCCCTGCCTCATGAAACCCCCTCAGCATCCTGACACATCATACAAACATCCCAGTCCACCCTTGCACATCCTTTTATGTCTCCACACTCAGACACTGCCATCAGCCCCTCTGGATAAGGAAGTCCACCGGGACAGGACAGCTGGGGCAGGGCGGTATCACAGTATACACCCTGTGACAGTACAAATGTATCACCCGTTATATAGGGATATATACTGTATTGCTTATACTGTGGTCTACCCAATTAAAAAAAATAATCCATCAAGCTGAAAAATATAACACTCCAAAGTGTGTTGCAGGCGGTGCTTAATAGTAGCTCATCTTTTTGGAGAGCATATTCTGAATGCTGCCTTAACCGAGTCCTAGTATTATTGCAAGACATCGTACCAATCCTAATGCATTGGAAATTATCTTGAATAATTGATTGCTTGAGATGAGATCAAAGAAATGTATGTGCATACCTTACAGTGGGGAACTAGGTCTGAGACTGGAAGAGAGCCAAGCTATTAATTATCATGTGCCCGTGAAAGGGGATCTAATAAACACGCATAAAGTACAGGAAGAGGGTAAACACAGACACATTCTAACACCTTATTATACTGTATGACCTGCAGTACTCATATGTGCTCATATAAAGATACATGTACTAACGATGTATAAATAAACAGCACATCACACACAAATACACAGTGTAACAGTTGTTTACTTTTGCCAACAGGCTTTTAAAATAAATTATATGAGTACTATGTTTTATCAGAAGGGGAGAGGAAGGTGTAGAGTTCTCTGTGGCTTACCGGCCACAGTATTGAAACATGATTTCCAACTAATAATATTTTTAATAAGTCAAACCCACCCCCGCTCAGCTATGTTTACCTTTAATGTTTTCAGATTTCAGTGGTAAACACTTCTGATATCTTCATGTCATACTAGAAAAGGCAAACCTGCCTGTGCATGGAATGCGGTGCATTTTATTTAATTAATTAATATTTATTTAAATATATATTACAATAGAAAATCATTATTTGAAATTGTAATAATATTTAATAAAAATACTATTATGTTTAAATAAATGCAGCCTTGGTTAGCATAGGACACTTATAAAATAATAATAATAATAATAATAAATACATAAATAATAATAATAATATACACTATAATATGCAATGATAATATCAACAAATAATAATAATAATAACAATAATAATAAACTTTTACTGACCCAAACTTTTAAACCATATTAAATATATATGTGAATGAACATTTCATATATAATAACCCATGAGAGGTCACTCGTTGCAGTGCTTTGGGAGTTAAGAGGGGTTTCAGGCGCTCTGCTTCACAATGTGCTTAAGTACACTGTAATCACATGGCCTTTTATGGCCATGATTGCATCAGTGATTACATGACAGTGACTAAGTACAAGCTTTAAGCAGGCAACATCTGAGTATCAGACTGTATTAAATTACACGGTTATACAAAAAAAGGACAGGTGACCTCAATTATTACATGTGGCCTGCTCATCTGGCACGAGTATCTGGAGGGGTGTACCAACGTTAGACGCTCAATAACCCTTATGATATAATTACACTCACCTCACTGCTCATTTCCAACTCTTTATGGAGACAAAGAACACAGGATAAAAGGGAAATTTGATTGAGCTCTTCACATCTTCAAGGCACCTTACAGAGCCTTCGACGCAGCAACACCAAATCAAATGTCAATTTCGAACCACTTTTAACACAGCAAGAAAGCAGTGTCTGGGAGCTCTTAACGTGTCTAGATGAAGGGCAGGGAAAGTATCTGATAAACAGCACAATTAAAGCCCCGGTCAAACTAGGCAGAGCTCGGCTGCGAGATTTCATGCAAAATTACGCTGGCGAAACGAGTGGCAATTAACAAGGGGGCATGTTCATTCATTAGTGCGAAAGGGAGCGATTTGCTGGGGAAGGGAAGAGGTCAGCCTGTAGGACTGCCAAAGTGCTAATGTCCTCCTAGCTTCTCTGAGTCCTGCTGACTGTGACAGCATGATGAAAAATACTGGCATGCATGGAGATAGAGCTCGGCCTGCCAGCCAATCCACGCTTGTGGCTAAGGCGCGAGCTGACAAATTCACCATCAAACCAATTAGTATGGGTAAGTATGGCAAAAACATTTTTTTAGAGGTTGCACTGGAGCGACTGCAAAAATGTAATATAATTATATTTATAATTAATCTACAGGCGATTTCGTTAACGGCGCATCCAGTCAGTCTCTGTTTTTATGAGAAACATCAAACGGCGAACGGAACTGAAAGCATAATGAAACCACGCTACTCGTTTGAACTGCGCAGCGCTTAGAGTGTAGAGCCTGGTTTATACTTGCCGAGCCAGGATGAGCGCGAAGGTGCGCACAGCAAAAATGAAGCGAATATTGAGGAAACGATGGATGGTTTTCAAGTTAAAGTAAAGAAGACCGCTTCTTAAACCAGAGAAGGCAAATTTAGTTTTACTTTTCTAACTGAGAAAGTTAGTCGCAAAAGAGCGACCAGTGGGAAGAATGAGTCTGGAGCCCTTGACATACTGAGGCATTTGATCAAATGGGTGTGTTTTCTGAGGAGGCTTGTTTCTGCCAATGAACTAAAACTAAGATAACTGCAACTTTTTTTTTAATCTCACAATTCTGACTTTTTGCCTCGTAATCGCGAGTTTATATCTCGCAATTCTGATTTTTGATCTTGAAATTGTGAGTTTATATCCTGCAACATTTTCTTACAATTGCAAGATTATATCTCACAATTCTGACTTTATAACTAGCAATTCTGAAAAAAAAGAAGAAGTGTGAGATGTAAACTTTGCAAGATACGATTAATCGCGATTAATCACGATTAATCGCATCCAAAATAAAAGTTTTTGTTTACATAATATATGCATGTATACCATGTATATTTATTATGTATATATAAATACAAACACATGCATGGATATATTTAAGAAAAAATATGTTTTTATATATTAACTATATTTATATACAATATAACATTTAAGAATATAAATATATAAATGTAAATATTTTCAAAATATATACTGTATGTGTGTGTATTTATACATAATAAATATACACAGTACACATGCATATATTATGTAAACAAAAACTTGTATTTTGGATGTGATTAATCATTTGACAGCACTAATTTATTTCTTATTCAGTGGCAGAAAGGGGCTTCCAATTTGGAAAGTAAACAAGAAATGTCTTGATAGAATATTAATAAATGGCATTGTCATCTTAACCTAAATTAATACCACTTACTATGCAGGGATATCTAAATTTGAACATTTCAAAACAAAATTCCATCTACTTCTCGGAGGTAATGGCCAAATCAATAGCATTCAATTATGACTTCTGATATATGAAATGGTAAACGCTTGTTTTGTTTACTGTGTGGAGACGTGCTGATATCGCATTTGGTCTCGTTCTGTATGGCGTATCTTGTCAGTGTCTGCGCTTGCTTGGCCATTTTTTGCGGAGAAAATAAGGAAAGTGTGTTCAAGCGCCAGCAGAAAACAGTGTAAAGAAATAGTCTTTGAGAGAAGCAGTCTTTATCAGTGAAAGTTAAAAGCAGCTCGTAAGTGTATTTACTTGTCTCATTAGTGTTTAGTGCAGTTGTCGTTGCTAGGAAATGCTTGTTTTGTTTACTGTGTGGAGACGTGCTGATATCGCGTTTGGCCTCGTTCTGTATGGTGTATCTTGTCAGTGTCTGCGCTTGCTTGGCCATTTGTTGCGAAGAAAATAAGGAAAGTGTGTCCAGCTGAACTAATGTAGTATTTTGTTAGACGGGTATAAAAAAGCTTAGTTTACCGCGACAGCGTTCGCAGCAGCCATTGCGTGAAGGCCTCCTCGTGTGAAGACCGAAGAGTGTGAAGACCATCGACTCTACCGTGTGACTACACCGGGCAGGACACCGGCAATGGATAAGTATCGCTTTTTATTTCTCCTCTTTCCTATTACTTGTTTAGCTTCTGTTTCAGTTTTTATAACCATTTCTTACTATGTGTAAGTAAGTTGTTGTTTTTTAGCATGTGTGTTTGGCAGTGTTACTTTTTGGGATTACTGATAAACTACTGTCATTTGATCTGTATTATTTGTATTTATTTATTTAGTTTGAATTTATTATGTCTGTATAGGTCTTTTATTAAGTTTTAAGTTTGATTTAATTTTAGTTATTTTAACACTTCAACAAACTAAATGGAAATGAAATTTTATATATATATATATATATATATATATATATACACATTTATAAATTCAATATATATATATATGTATGTATGTATGTGTGTGTGGTTGTACATACACATATGTAGTTGGTTTTTGGCTTAGTGTTATGTTAGAATCATTATTATACATTATTGTACCTTTTGTTCTTTCATATTTTGAATTGTTTTTATCTTATATGTATGTCCTCATTTGTAAGAACAGTAAATAAAGTTTTTTAAAATAGTAAAAACTCAAAAAGTTCAGGTATGAGTTATTAACTAGCTGTATATAAAAATGGAAAATCTCCATTTAGCCAAGTGAACATATCTATTACACCCCCACTATGGTACTATATATAAGGTGTACTATAATGGTATTTCTTTTATGAGATGACTCAATTAAGGACATTTCTAGAGCTTAGGATCGACAGCAGGGTCAAAGATTTTGGATGGAAGTTACATTTAGAGGTTAGATGAAGATATCAAAAGCAAACCAGAAAGATGAAGAGACAGATGGTGGGGAGGGGGGTAATGGAAGAGTAGATACCCACCCGATGGTGCTTCCAAGTGCCGCCTCAATGGTCCAGACACAGTGCAAGTTGTGCTCATAAGGAGCTGGGTAACCAGGAGACAGAATCCGGCCCACAGGCTCATCTTTAATCGTTCCTCCACACTCGGCTGGGTAAAGAAAGAGATAAACAAAGGCGCAATTCTTCAATGACAGCTCACAACTCTGCAGCACAAACAGTACATCTTAAAAAAAACAAAAAAAACAAACAAACAAACACACAGTTGGGCCCAAAGGTCAGAGACCAATAGTTAAAGTGATTCTATTGTACAATTGTAATTAATACATATAAAAAAATGTAATATGATATGATATGATATAATATAATATATTTTGTCCGTTTTACATTAATTAAGGCTTATTTGGTTTGAATTAAATTTTGAAATAACATTTTTAATGAAGACAACATATATGAATGAATGCCAATAACGAAAACACTGGGTGTTAAAAACCTACAACCTACAAAAAAAAAAAAAAGGACATGAAGCAAGGAAGGTACATGGTGTGCTGTGCAGTGATGCATCATCAGGTGGCAGGGGCGCAAATAACTTTCCACTTTAAAAGAATGCATTCAGCACTGAGCAGAGTTTTATGAGTGATGAGCAGAATAATATGGCTGTATATCACCTCCAGGATTAAGCCTTCCCTGGGGAGCGCATATTTCCTTTGGCTAATATCACTGATAGTGTTGGTAATATGTCCTGCCCCAGACATGACTATCCATCTTACACTGGGGAAATGGTGGTGTTGCTGGTGGTGGGCAGTGGGGGTACAAATCACTTGTTTGTCAGGAGGTTGGGGCCAGAGCGTGTGACAGTTCCAGTTTCACGGATCAGGAAGTCATGAGTGTTATATCCAACCCCTGCCATCGTCATCATCATCCCAGAGGTCAAATGTATGTGCCCTTACACAGCATAAACTCGTACTGTATATACACATATACACCCTCTAGACATGGACTGGAACCGAATGAGTTTGCATACAGAATACAGCGTAAATCCCTCTTATTAATTATTCAAGCTGCCTTTATTTTATTTTTATTTTTAATTTGAGGAGGGGCCTGATAAACTAAGTCTATATATATAAAATATACACTGTTTTACTTACAAATGTTAAACTTTCCATGAAAACAAATGAGCAATCTGTTTTAACAATTTGGCTTGACCACACAAAATATGTTAATTTGAAATGAAATTTTTTTTAAATATATATATATATATATATATTTTATTATTTTCTTTATTACTTGTCTGATATCATATGCATTATTTTATTTTATTTTATTTATTTTTTATTTTATTTTTATATTTTATTTTATTTTAAATTGTATTATTTTATTTTATATTATATTTTATATTATATTTTATATATTTTTTTATTTTATATTTTATAATTAATTTTGTTTTTATATTTTATTATTTTATTTTATTTTATGTTATATTTTATATTATATTTCATTTATTTTATTTTTTATATTTTATATTTTATATTTTTTATTTTATTTTATTCATTGGCATTTCGGTCATGACCATCTATGTTCAACAATGGTTATACAGTAATTAAAACATACTGCTTTAGGCCAAAGACTCAAGGTCTTAAAGTGGCTGATGAAACATCTCTTCACAATGACAAATGACTATAGTTAAGGCCAATTACATTTTACATTAAAATGGATTTCACTGGGTCTTTTAAATAAAAGTTAGATTTTTTAACTTTAGCACTTTTTGTTTTTCTGATGAAAGGACAGATTGGACACTTTGAAGGTTTGAATACATTTAACCGTAAGAAATAAAAAGTATTTTTTTTCTCTCTGTAGAAAATGTTAAGAATACAAGTATTGATCAACAGTAATCTAGTACTACATCCCAAAAACAGTACTGAAGTATAGCTATGAAGTTCAACTTTACTTCAATCAAGCCAGTGGAGGGGCACTTCACACATTTGTTCCAGACACTTTCCCTCCACACATCTCTCCTTGAGTCTCGGACAAGCAATAGGCCCTTTCGCACCGCTTTAGATTGAAAGAACGGAAAGGAGGACTAAGAATCTCCAACGACAATTGACAGTGCTACATTTGCTACTAGTGCCTTCACTTCAGCATCCGTCCATCTATCGCTGTTCTCCATTCTTGCAAAATAAGTTGACACAATGTTTACTGTATGTTTACACAGCGTTTTAAATCATGGCGGGTGAGGGCGTTTTCATACGCGCTTGGCCACTCAATGTCTCCTTACATCACGATTAGTACCAGTTGTGCTGGTTAGACCCTGCTCCGGAGTAGGAGCTCATTTGGTTCTCGAAAAAGGCAGTCCGGTACTAAAATCGCTCCCAGTTCCGGCGGTGCGAACACGCCGAAAAGTGGGTAGTTCCACAATTAGTTCTGGTACTATGAAAAGGTTCCTGCGGTGCGAAAGGCCCTAATGACACAAATTACATGGTGGCCGGCACTTGTAGTCATGTGAGATATACATGTCACAGCATGCAAGTGCAATGTGTTCAAATGCACACTTCAGCCTCTCAAGCCATTGTCACACATACTGAAAGGTATAAACATAGACATGGAGACAAACATTTGATCTTTTCTTTTGATAGTGCACAGAGGGAAAAATGAATTGTTGAATGCAAAAGAGAAAGTATCTATCTATCTATCTATCTATCTACAGGTGCATCTCAATAAATTTGAATGTCGTGGAAAAGTTAATTTATTTCAGCAATTCAACTCAAATTGTGAAACTCGTGTATTAAATCGATTCAATGCACACAGACTGTATACATTCTAATTTATTGAGATGCACCTGTATCTATCCATCCATCCATCCATCCATCTATCGTGGAGATTTATATATTGCAAGCTATTTTTATTTTTCATCTGCCTTTCTCACACTTTTTTGTGGGGTTTTTTTTGTCATCTCATATGAATTTACAATTAAAAGAACCAAAGACTTAAACTACTTTAGTCTGTGTGCAATGAATTTATTTAATACACAAGTTTCACAATTTGAGTTGAACTACTGAAATAAATTAACTTTTCCACGACATTCTAATTTATTGAGATGCACCTGTATCTATCCATCCATCCATCTATCGTGGAGATTTATATATTGCAAGCTATTTTTATTTTTCATCTGCCTTTCTCACACTTTTTTGTGGGTTTTTTTTTGTCATCTCATATGAATTTCGTTCTGACGAATGTTCCCATAGTGGACAGCAGAGCCATAAATCACAATAAAACAAACCCATCTTCTTCAACTCCTGATATGACCTGCTTCGTAAGTCATAAAACTAAATTTCTTGCTCTCTCATTCTCTCTTGCTCTCTCTTCCCCTCCCCCTTTTCTCTTATTCTCACCAACTTCTAATTTCTCACTGTCCACCCTCTGTTTTCTAGAGCACTAGTTAGTTTCCTGTTGTGGCGGATGAAAAATATTTGCTCATGCCTTTACAGATCCATTTCTCCTCTGTATATGGGCATTTCAATTTTGCCTAAAGGTCTCCATAAGCTCAGGTGGGGAAGCACCATAATTCAAAATTCAACAGCATTGCAGAACGCCTTGAAAAGTAGGTCTGTGATAAACTCACATTGAGGAGAACCCAGGCTGAATATAAGGGTGGGTGGTAGAAGACACATACACATGAAGAAAAAAATCATAAGCACTCCAATTAATAGAAGTCTCTCTGACTTGGGGGATCATATGCATGAAGCACATTCTCAGAGTGTATCATACAAAGACCATGCGGCAGATTTAAAGTTTGTGATACAATACAGTAATTAGGATTTCCTGGAATGCCATAAGTTATATTACGCCTGTGAGGCAGATTTGGACTTTCTGCATAAGAGCACCCTCCGGCTTCCAGTATGAATGAAACAGACATTGCATGTGTTTATAGTGCTCCATAATGCTTACACCATCAAAACAAAACAAAACACAAAATTTAATTAAATTAAATTTAAAAAAATAATAATTAAATAAAAAGTGTACATTGTATTCATTGTAGTTCATTAATATAAAAATATAACTCACTGTCACGTTCTGTCACTGTTATCTTCTAATAAAAAATAAATAAAAAAGTCCTTAATGTTTTGCACGTCTTTCCCTAAGGTATTGAATATCAATATATTTTGAGTTATCGTATCAAAGTTAGAAATGTTGTCTCTAAAGTAACTGCCTAAAGAAGTGTGTAATTGTGAGTGTGAATGAGGTTGAGTATTCAGTAGCGTCTTACCAACACACAGTGGGAGTGGGCTGTCCCATGCTCTCCTCTCCCCTCTGAGACATGTCAAAACCTCCGGGCCCTTTAAAGTGTAGCCAGGATCACAGCTATATGACACCGTGCTGCCTGCGAAGTGACCTTTGTCCTCCCGTTTAAAACCGAACTGAGGCACACCTGGATCCTCACACTTTACCAACTCAAAACCTGTAATAAGACAGGGAAAAAAGAGTGTGTTCTTCAAAACCTCTCCTGTGCTTGGTAGATAGGTATCCATCCATCTATCTATCCATCTATTTATGTGTACACACATACTACTGTGTAATGGCTGCAAGGTGTCAGTGTGCTACTCACTGGTGAAGTGCAGCTCGAAGCCTTTGCTGGTATTATCACTGTTGCTAATGAACTCCAGCCACATGGTGCTGGACGTGCTGTTTAGAGTAACATCCATCATCTCTCTGCCTGTGAAGGTGCCCAGCAGTCTGGCACTGTTACTGCTACCATCATACACCTGAAACACACACAAAACAGTCATCATATGATTTACAAACCAACATTACACATAAGTATGAATGCACACTAAGTCACAAAGACCTTAAGCAAGTCGTCCTCCTCCAGCCGGAAATCCCGCGCTCTGAGCTGGATCCCTTTACCGGTTTGGGTTTGGATGGAGTAGATGCACTCATGGTTGTTACCGTAGTAACCAGGGTAGTTAGGAGAGAGTAAAACTCCTTGTTTCCCGGTTACAGACGATCCACATTCAGCTGCAGCAAGGGAGGTGAGAAGTCAGATGACCTCTGACAAATGACCCATGATCTCAGTATAAACACAAGCACACTTATACACTCATGCTGGCAGTCAGGGGGTGGTGTGTGTTTGTGAATGAGTGCAAGTCAATTTCTCTGCCAAATTTTGCTCGGATATTGAACCACACAAATTCAATTTTAATCTATAGCTACTTTTACCTGTAAATTAATAATTATTGTGATATTACAGATTATAACTGATACATCAATTGTTTTAAATGCTACAAGTGAATTTAGGAATCACATATACTAATTTTAAGATTTTCTAAATATTACAATTAACAGTTTTACTAGTTTGGTGTACTTAAAGATTAATTTTAAGTGAGAGCAAAGGCAATCTAAATGTAAAAAGAGTTAATGAGCAAGCAATATTAAATACCCTGATAAATAAATAAATAAAATCTCCAATATCAGTCAATAACTGATACATCATGCATCCCTTGTAATAACAATTTGTCTTAAATAATATTAAAAAGAAAAATATTGGGTGTTTTCTGGATGATGTTTTTGGAAGAAATAACTGTCATACCCAACAGATCTTAAGTGAAGTAAACCATATGTTATTTATTTAAATAAGTTTAAATACAAGGACGTTGACACAAAATCATAAACATATGTTTACATATGAGCTGACCTAGTTTCACAAGAGTGGTAAACAAATATGAAGCAAGGATAAGCCAGATATTGCTGCAGAAATACATAATACCTAATTACTTGCTTCAACCGGAATGTCAAAATCATAATGTTACGAAATTACATTCTAAATGTAACATCTAAGCCATTCCAGCAGGAATTAAATTGAAGAAGTCTGGTCTCCAAGATACTTGTATGCTGATATCTACCATTACATTAATGCTGATTAAGCATTAGACTAAATTTAGGGCTGGTGCTGTGGTTTTATTTTCAGATGGTGAGTCATAACCTTTTTCTTTTTTGAACATTTGAGCAGAACTCCTAAAAATGGTGCTGCTTTAGTCTTTTACTTTGAGATATGAAGTTTCAGCATGTGTGTGTGTGTGTGTGTGTGTGCATGTCCGAGCACATGAGGGGAAATATGTTGTATAATTTGCAAACAAAGCAAAATGAAAAGCATGTGACCACCTACCAACACACCTTGGCAGAGGGGAACTCCAAACCCGCCGACGCCCCCCTAGACACACCACCCTCGCAGGCCCCTCGAGACGGTATCCCGGAAAACAGGAAAAGATTAGCGCATCCCCCACCCCGAACTGCAGCCCCTTACGAGTGCCGAAGGGGGGGACGCCGGGATCTTCGCAAGGCTCCAGATCGTATTCTGAGGAGAAGGATTGATATTTTGTAGCTTCTTCTGTTATAAATGTCATGCAGTTTAAGCTGCTGTGCAAAGGTCTCTACCTGAGAAAGTGATGTTAAACCCCTCATAGGACACAGAGAAGTCAGAGAGGAAACGGATCTGAGCGGTGTAGTTGCCAAAAAGTCCAGCGCTGAGAGGGGGCGGCAGTGTAGACCCGGTCAATCTCCACAGGGGTTGAGAGAAACTACCATTTTCTGTGACTAAAAGGTGGTCGTGTGGACTCTCCAAGTGAAACGTGTGAAAGGTAAACTGGACACCTGTGGAGATTGAGAGGTGGAGAAAAACACTGGATATATAGATCAACTGTTTATAAATTCACAAAGGCTTCAATCACACAAAACTGCAGGAAAACGTATGTCGAACCGTCAGATTTACCCGGATTTCTGGGGCCAGTTGTTCAAAAGTAATCTGATCGGATTTTGGCCATTGGAATGGATCAAATCTCGACAATGTGTTGTTCAAAAGCAAAAAAAAAAAAGGATTCTGAATTTGGATTAGATCACAAAATCCAATCTTGATTTTGATCTGGATTAAATCCTCACTTTGTGTTGTTCAAAACGTTTTAGTAAGATTTGGATACTTTTGACCTAAAAAAAACCCTGGATTATTCTGATCCCAGCAGAAGGGTGGATTTTAGGAACAAAAATGTAATAAAACTTTAAAAATGGCCCCAAAAATAAAACATTTTAACATGTAATGTATCTCCAAATCCCCAAAAAGCTGTCAATATCAAACAAAAATATTATATTTAATTTAAAGTTTATTTTTTTTAAACACTGATTGTAAACTACATTGGCAGAATCATCAGAGATGGACCAGTCAGGAGTAGTTATTTTTGTAAATGCAATGCAAAACATAGGCATTTTTTCCCTCATCTCTCATTTTTCCATTACCATGTCTCTTTAAGGGCTCCATAGAGCACTAGTAATCCAGATTTGGAAATCTGAAAAGGTAGGCATCTGGATCAGGGTGATTCAATCCAATTTTGCTCTGAAAAACCGGCACAAAAGTAAGACGGGTTACCTGATCCTGGATAGCAAAACATGGGATTTTCAAATCCAGATCATTCTGATCCAGATTAAACTTTTTCAACAACTGGTCCTAAAATTTGATCACAACAGACAAAAGGCACAAACAATGCCACACCATGTAAACACTCACAATGCAAAAATGGAAAAAGTATGTGAATCCCTAGGCTAATGATTCCTCCAAAAGTTAGCATCAGCTGTGTTCAATCAATGAGGTGAGATTGAAGATGTCAGTCAAAGCTGCTCTGTACTATAAAAAAAGAATTGCTCAATTTTGGAGTTTTCTATTCAAAAGAAGCACTGCCTCATGTGAATTGCATCTCCAACAAAAGAGGTCTCCGAATGCCAAAGATTAAGGATTGTTGACTTGCATAAAGCTAGAAAGGGTTCGAAAAACATCTCTGAAAGCCTTGATGTTTATCAGTCGATGGCAAGACGAGCTCGGCTTCTCTTCCTAGGAGTGGGCGTCTTGCAAGAAGAATCCTAGAGTGTCAGCTAAAGACTTACGGAAATATCTGGAACACGTTAACGTTTCTGTCAAGGTGATTATGATGCATGGAACGCTAAACAAGAACAGTGTCAGATGAAACATTGCTGCATTTGTCAAGTTCACAAGAGCATGTGGATGTTCCACAGTGGAGAGGTCAAACTAGAGTGAAAAGAAGACTTTGAAATTTAAGTATGGTGGTCCATCATGATTTGAATGTAGTCCTGACCTCAACCACATTTGGTATGATTTCATGAGAGAGTGATTCATGCCATAGAGGAATATAACTGAACTGAACCATTTTTGTAAAATGAAATGGTGCAAATTCCTCTTGGCTATTGTTCAGGTGTGATCTACAATTGCAGAAACCATTTGGATAAGGTTACAGCTGCCAAATGAAAGTCAACCAGTTATTAAATCCATACTTTTTCCATCTTATACGGTTTACAATGCGTGTTCATGGAAACATTATTGTTTGTGTTTCATTTAAAAACACTGTCTATTCCACTATAAAAGAAAGAACCAGCTTCAAAAAGCGGCCTCACCTTTACCATGTGAAGTTTCAATCATCCACGTACAGTTGAGGTTATGGGGGTAGAAGTCAGGAAACCCAGGGGACAGAATAGTGCCGCTGTTCCCCTGAATAAACCCGCCACAAAGCGCTAGAGGAAAGAGAAAAAGATAAAGGCTATTTGTCAAAATGCTGAGCGCAATCCTACTGAAACGAACTTTACAGGAAGTGCCCTTTTGAAGGACATCAACATATGGAGGCAAATTATTCCTATCATTACCCAAGGGGAAAAATCAATAATGGCCTTAAATATTCAAAGCCTTGTGGAATAGGAGAAGGGAGCGGAAAGGGTAGCTTCGAACCGTAAAGGCCCTTCCAGTCTGGGAGCGATTACGTCGCTTGAATAAATGACCTATCTCTAATGTGTCCTTTTCCCTGGCGGTGACCATTTTAGTAGGTAAAGAGTGGACCGTACCATCACAGCTGGGCAGAGGGCGACTCCATTGGAAGTTAGGCTCACACTCAAGGGGCTCGTGGTCACTGAGGGTGTATCCTAGTTCACAACTGAACGTCACCAGCGCCCCCACATAGAAATCATTGCCGTGCCGCTGACCATTGACTGGGATTCCAGGATCAACACAATGGTCCGACTGGAGCTGCAAGGCTTGAAGAGAAAATATACAAACATTATTGTGAAAAACATCCAATGATTTTCAGGGCAGAAGTTTATTGTAAATGCATTAGAAACTTGGTATGAGGGCAACTTATACGCTACTAATACTACTAGTGTACAAATTAAAGTGTTATATCATATATATATACTGTATATATCAATAACTTAATGACACTGTTAAATGCACTCTTGCAAATCTCAAAATCCATCAGAGGGCGACTCCATTGGAAGTTAGGCTCACACTCAAGGGGCTCGTGGTCACTGAGGGTGTATCCTAGTTCACAACTGAACGTCACCAGCGCCCCCACATAGAAATCATTGCCGTGCCGCTGACCATTGACTGGGATTCCAGGATCAACACAATGGTCCGACTGGAGCTGCAAGGCTTGAAGAGAAAATATACAAACATTATTGTGAAAAACATCCAATGATTTTCAGGGCAGAAGTTTATTGTAAATGCATTAGAAACTTGGTATGAGGGCAACTTATACGCTACTAATACTACTAGTGTACAAATTAAAGTGTTATATCATATATATATATACTGTATATATCAATAACTTAATGACACTGTTAAATGCACTCTTGCAAATCTCAAAATCCATTTTTTATGTTGTACATCATATTGTTATAAATCCAAATGACTGATTTTAGTTTTTAGTGATTTATTTGTACTTTATTCTAACAAAACAGAATAGCATTTAATATGGTCCTTTAATTAGTTATCGGCAATAACTTAAAATAATTATCAGCTTATCCATGTTGGTCAGACTTTTAATATTGGTGCATCTCAAGTTTATGGAATGTTCTGCCTATTTGGATCATTCAAAAGTTGTATCATTCTTGTAGACGCAAGTAATACAAAGTCTTCGACAGCCCTTTCTGCTTGAGTTGATGTACTCAATAATTTAAGATGAACTGAGATTTATAGAGAAATAACAAGAAAAGGTTACAAACATGAGTCATCCCAGCATAAAAGCCATTCTTTCAGTTCACAATACTGTGACGGAGCTAATTCTACAGCCTCGTGTGTATGAACGCGTGTACAGTTGCTTGTGTCATGTGTTTGCGCATGACTGAAATCATCTCACAACATAATCACCATCCTATTATATCATAATTACAGGACCTGATTAAAATCACTGCATATTAAAGAGCGTGTGACTATTATTTATAATGATGCCTTCATAGCTGCTAGTATTCACAGGTATCTGTGCTATCAGATCCTTGTAATTGCAGCCATGAAATGCATTGGAGAGAAGATAATATCAAGCTTTATCTAACTAGCATGCTTTGACTAAATTCTGAGCATTGTAGGAGACTTTGAATATGAATTACACTTATCGCATCTTCTTTTTTTACTTGAACAATGCAATTAATAATTTTGTGATATTTTACCATCTGCATTCTCTAAACAAGTATATAATTAAACATTTATATGTAAAATAAGGTCTGTGGTAAACATTCTTTGAATTACAGAATACATATGTTATAGAAATAAATGTTACCAAAATTACCCTTTTCAGATCAAAACACTAATAAATGCAATAGTAGATCATCATACTCTCATATCGGATGCGGAAGCCAATGTCCGAGTGACTCTTGTCAGTGGTGAAGAGCAGGTACAGGAAGTTGGAGGTGCTGATGAGGAACTGCGGGACCTGTGTACCCTGATAACTGCCAATCAGAGGGGAAGAAGGATAGCGTCCATCTCGTACCTCAAGAACATCGTAGTTAACCTCTGTCCGGAATCTGTGGATCAGAACAGTGCTATGCATCAGCATGGCAGCTTCACCACAAAGTGAGGCTACATGGATTCATCACAGTCTTGTTCACTTGTGTTCCTGCAGGATATCACATATTTACAGCTAGAAAAGAAATACTACATCATCCAAACTGAAAGCTCAGCTCACTCTGTGTGTTGTTTGAGTTTCCTGCAGCAGCAGCAGCCCACTAAAGCCCAGCTGCTTTCTGTACTCACAGTCAGATGGAAAACATCAGCTGTCCCTCCAGCCTCACCTTTAAAGAATTTTCCCAACAACAATTGATGGTAGATGCAAACATTCATACTAAACATGTACACATACAGAAAATGAAGAAACCCCGGGAACCAGTGGAAGAAGAACTCTATCACATACAACAGTTACGTAGCAGGAGAATCAGTGGATGAGACTACATCAGTCTGTCTCGTGCCATATGCTAAAACGTATATGGACACCCTTTCTGATTAATGAGTTTGGGTATTTTATTCATGTAATTGAAGACACATTTTATTGCTACTATATACAATGACATTCTAGAGCAGGGTTGTCCAAACTCTGTCCTGGAGGGCCGGTGTCCTGCAGAGTTTAGCTCCAACTTGCCTCAACACACCTGACTGGAAGTTTCTATGCCTAGTAAGAGCTTGATTAGCTGGTTCAGGTGTGTTTAATTAGGGTTGGAGCTAAACTCTGCAGGACAACGGCCCTCCAGGACCGAGTTTGGACAGCCCTGTTCTAGAGCATGCTTTTGGGAAATGCACCCCTGGACGATGTCTGAAACGTGCCTCAAGATAAATAACTTGCCTGTTAAATTGCTGTTGAATTGTCCATTTGTTACATTTACATTTAGTCATTTAGCGAAAGCGACTTACAAATGAGGACAATAGAAGCAATCAAAACCAACAAAAGAGCAATGAAATGCAAGTGCTACGACAAGTCTCGATTAGCCCAACGCACTACACGTAGCAAGTTTTTTTTTTATATATACCTATATACATATATATATATTTTTTTTTTTTGCGGTTTCTTTAAGATTTGTAAATTACTAAGGATAAAAACATCTGCTACATAAATAAAATATAAAACAAAACAAAAATGGAAAACAAAATAAAATACACATCAAGAACAAAACAAAAACAAACAAAAAAGAAAGAAAAAAAAATTAACAGTTAATTGGGCATTTGATGTCCTTTTTTAATAAATGTTCAACAATCACATATGACTGTAGATAAAGCCATTCTATATAAGCAGAGGTAAGAGATATTTACATTGATTCAGAACAAATCCTTGTGATAGCTTGGGAAATAAATAGCCAGATACTCTTATTTCAAGTCTATAGTGAACATCTGCAGTGCGCTATAGTAACCGATTTATGAAATGATGATAACCAATAGAATGAAAGATAGGAGGGGAAAATGAAACCGGGAGGCTTATTAAGAACAACATGACAGTTCAGAAAAGAGAAAGCGAAGTCTTGTACGTACTTGTCAAAGATGATCTTAATAGGATATCCTGGCAGAGCCTCGATGATCCACTCACAATTGAGGGCCTCTTTATAAAGCTCAGGCCAGCCTGGGGACAGAATGATGCCGCTAGAGGCCTTCAAGTTTCCACCACATGGAGCTAAAGAACAGGAGAAAATGTCAAGATTATTTCGTTGCCAATTTTTATTTTTTTTGATCTTTACATGTTGAATATTAACAATAAAGTAAATTTTGACAAATTTGCAAAATTGCATAGCATAAAAATATTTGACCAAGAGAGGATCTAAACTTCACAGATTGACGTCTTGACTAAATTCAAAGAACAACATTTATGAACCTGCAGGTTTGAAGTATCGCAGTGTTGATGTTACATTTTCAAATGTTGCATTTTGTTCTTTGTGGTGTATTGGATGGCCGCAGCTTTATCCACAACATACTCAATTCCAATTATTTATTCAAATTCAAAATGCAAAATCTAAAAACAAAATGTGTTCAATGGCTGAGGTGGATGATCTCATCTTTAACTGTGTACTGAAAGGGCATCTATAATAGGCATTACTCAATAAATGGCATAAAATGATTTGTAGTACACAGCAGCGCATTTTATTCGGTAACACTTTACTTGAAGGGGTGTGCATAAGACTGACATGACACCTTCATAATCATGACATGACTTAAATATTAACCCTACCCCTACCCTTACCCCTAACCATAGCCCATTACAAAGACATCTCAAACAATGTCATCTTTGCATTAAAAATTACATAACTGAGCGAATGACACTTAATGACAGTTGTCATAAACATGCATAAAAAACCTTCATATTCATGACATGTGTCATGTCATGATTATGTAGGTGTCATGTCATGATTATGAAGGTGTCATGTCAGTCTTATGCACACCCCTTCAAGTAAAGTGTAACCTTTTATTCAAAAACAAAAAAAGGATGTGTTTTTCATTTAGAAGAATTCAGGCAGTTAATACTTCTGGAGCACATTCTGAAAGTAAAGATTATGACTTTTTGTTCCACTGATATTTCAGAAGCACCAACATTTATGTCTCTCTCTCCGAATGTACTTAACGAACAACCAAACTGAACAAACTCTCTAAAAGTTCAGTAAAGTGCAAACAGAGTTAGAGTATATAATTTTGTTTTTATTACAAGCCGACTTGTGAATTATGAAATGTGCATATTTATTTGAAAGAGGACAGACCTTCACAACGTGGCACAGCATTGTCCCACACAACATTTCCATCTTTGAGAATGCAGGAGATGGTCTGAGATCCATGGGTCTTCATAAACCCCTCCTCACACAGAAAAGAGATGGAGCTGCCAAGCTGTAGACTCTCACCAAAGCGCTTTCCGTTTACTGGAACACCAGGGTCAGGACACTCGTTGTGCCGGAAAGCTTCAGTGGAAAAAAAAACAATGAGGCAAGAGAACTGCAAGGTAACTTCAAACTAAAAGGCCAAAAAGCTGGACACAGCAACAACAGCACTTTATTTATCGTATTAAATCATATATATATATATACATATATATATATTATTTTTTCAGTGCCTGTCTGCATTTTGTAAAAAAACTAAGAAACAAACAAAAAAAATAATTAGTTTTCATGAATAAACTACTTTTACAAGGCCCCATATAAATTAAAGAGGGAGTTTCTCAATATGGCCACTGAACTGAAGCCTTTTCGGCTCATCGTTTCAGCTGTATAGCTACACTAATTCATTTTAGTTAGAACAAAATATTGATTTATGTGCCACCCTAAGTTTCTTGCTTCAGTGGGAAGCTTGGAGCTACTCAGTACCCATCGACAGGACTTCAGAGAAGATGTATTACCAGCAGACAAAATCCCTCCAGAAAATCTGTTCATTCCGGGTACAGCACAGCACTAACAAAGCCAAGGTCATGGGTTCGATTCCCCGGGAATGCAGGAAAACTGACAAAATATATAATTTTGGATAAAAGTGTAATCTGTCATAGACACATTCAATGTAAAACTAAAATGTTTAAAGCTCTTATTGCGTTTCCCTTCATGCATTGGACATGAATTCCTTCTTCATGATAAACATGTTGTCTCAAATGCAACGATTGTGCATGCAATCCATCACCATCATGTGCCAACATGCCCTTCGATGGAGTTTGTCATCTTCTTAATTAACATGAATGATTGGAGCATCCTTCCCACTCCCCCAAAAACACGCCGAATGGGGAGTCAAACCATGTGGGATCACCTCCCGACAGCTTCAATTAACTGTGGCTTTATTTAATTATATATGTATGTGGAAATAAATTCTAATTAAATCTGTGGCTCTTGTTGTTCTTCCTCACATGGATACTCAAGCATCTATCAACTCCGCTGCCATACGCTATGCCCCGTGAATAGTGATTACTGAAGGACGACAGATATTGAGTCGTGAAATACAGACAACTCTCTCCTGAGGGGAAATAAAACATTTTTTAAATCACAACTTGATCTCATATAACAAGACAACTTCTGAGCTTTTTTTAACTCCCAGAAACTTTTCAAATTTGGTGCATGCCACCACTGACAAAACATCTGAACGCTGTTGTTATCTATTATACATTGACTTTTTGGTCTCTAACTTCAATGTGACGTTAGACTTAAAAGTATGAACAGGTTCGCCCAAAATAACTTGAATTAATTATTCATTTTTACCACAGAAAATAAAAAGTCTCATGAATCTAGAGCTGTCTTAAAAACGTACTGGTGAAAGTGATGTTGAAGCCACGTTCTGTGTACGTATGATCAGTCAGAAATTCCAGTCGGGCCACGTGGCCGCTGGTAGTGATGGGTGATGGCAGCACATCTCCAGAAAAGGTGCCCAGAATTGGTGATTCTGCCTTGCCGCCGTCTTTAATAGACAGGAAGTCAAACTGTTTCTCCATGCTCAGGTCGTTGAAGGCCAGGTTGATGCGGCTCTCGGGTTTGGCGATGATCAGCCACACGCAGTGCATGTTGTTTCCGTACTCCTGAGGGTAGTTTGGTGATAGCAGGACCCCAGACGGAGTTGTGAAGTTGAAGAAACACGAAACTGAGAAAAGGACAAAGAGATAAAACAAGCAACCGTTAAAGCACAGGAGGCATCGTGCGTCAAACTGTGAGGCAAACTTGAGATTAAAACTGCCACTGAAGCTAAAATCAATTCACAATGCATAGGGAGGTCATTTGTTGTTGCTTAAACAATGCAGCAAGACAGGAGTGGAAAAATTACAGCTTGGAGGATGTGCACAGTGTGATAACAGCATCTGTAACTGCAACTTATAAGACCTCTCAGACCTTGACAACAGACATTTTCTGAAATGTTCACTTTTTTGCTTATATAGCCTAAACTCTTAAAAATAAAGGTTACAGAATGTTTTTTTTGTTGTTGTTTTTTGCAGTGATGCAATAGAATAACCATTTTTGGTTCCTCAATAGTTCTTAACATTACCTTTTTTTTTCTTAAGAGTGAAGGACATTTTAATGATCTAAAGCACCTTTTGTTCCATTGTAAAGAGCGTTTTGTGCAATATAAGTTCCTATGAATGTTAAAGGTTCTTCATGGAACCAAGGATGCCATTAAAGAACCTTTATTTTTAAGAGTGTACATCACGTTTTTTTATTGCTAGTTTCTCCTCAAGGTGATTTGGGAATTTTGATGGTAACATGCTCCCAGAATTATGTGCCAAGATAATCAGAAGCAAGCCATTCGTATGTTAATTTCCCCTGAAAAGTATAATGACTCTGGCTTTGTGGAAACATTTATCTATTGAAACATTTATCCATGTGTTGAACCTGACACAGCAACATTGGCTCAACCAATGGCGTGACTTTGGGGTGGGGCTATCTGTTTTTTGACCAATGGAAGACTGAACTTGAATCCCTCACCCTGGTAAATAAACAGGCCCTACCCTAAAAAATAACAATTAATAAAAAATAAAAAAAACTTTTTTTTCTTACTCATATATCCCACAAAGCACACCAAGTGGGTGGCTAAAATAATAGTGAATAAAAATATGAAGTGCATGACACCCCAGTGTACAGGTATACTGTGATCTTGAAGCAGATAATAAGACTGAAGATGCTGCAGAGAAAGAGAGTGTTTATCTGCTGGGAATATCCGCAGGCATTAACTCATTTTCAGGATTTGGGACAAGGCTGAGAGGGCAATAAGTATCACTAAATAGCCATGGGGAGAATGAAAATGAGCTCAGTGGTGGACTGAAGACGAATCGTTACAGTTCCACCTCATATGAATGACTTTGTTGTCTGAGCTAATAATAATGTCATAAAATAGCAGAAAACAAAGTTGCAAGTCAACTGCAATTCCATTGATGTTGTAGCGTCTGCGTAGGATCATGCATGAAGCGTTGGACTGTTTATGGCTTAAAAGACCCCTTATAGCCTTTTGACATTTGCATTCAAATTACAGTTCTGGTCAGAAACTTTACGTTCGTATAG